GGTTTAGGGGTTTGGGGCTTGGGGGTTAGGACTTTCCAAAAATTAGGGGTACCTTATTTTGGGGTCCTTGTAATAAGGGTCCTACTATTTAGGGTGCTATTTTTGGGGTCCCCTATTTTCGGAAACTCCCATATAAGTTCCAAAAAGGGAACTTTAAGGGGTGTGGGGTTTAGGGTTTTGGGATTGAGGGTTTGGGGCTTGGGGGTTAAGGGTTTAGGATTAGGGTTCAGCGTTTATGGTTTTTGCTTTTTGGGTAAGGTTTTCTTGCAGTTGTTTTTTGCCCATACTCATTCTCACTCTTCAACAAGCCAAAACTCCTCAACCCAGACAACCTCCTAAATAAACAGTTCGAGCTGCAGGAGCACTGCGCACACGACTGGGCTTGGCCCGTGCTTTGGTGACCTCGCGGCATAGTGATCGCAGTGGAAATGCAGGTTTTCTACTTTCCTTTTTATGCTTATATCTTAAATCCCTAAACCCTAAACCCCTAGACCCCAAACCCTGAACCCTACACCCCCAGACCCTAAACCGCTAAACCCCGAAGTCCTGAAGGAGTATGGCAGGTTTTGGTATTGGTGAGGACTCCATGATTCTTGAAGGAAGCATCCCTTGTTTAAGGAAACTACAAGCGGGGAGTTTAGGGTATATAGGGCTTCCAAAACGGCTTCTAGAAGGTATATATATAGACCTTCTATAAGGCTCCTATAACGGTCACTACTTACCTAAACATGTCCTAGATCCAGGAGCCTCCCCTTGTTCAAGGGGACAAGGAGTCTTCCTCTGTGGCATTTGTAGGCGATGTAGGGTGATTCAAGCGGCAATATGTGAAATATAGGGGCCTAAATATTTACTAATACTATATTAAGGGGTTCCTGATTAGAAATATACTACAATCGCTCCCAAAACCCTATTCTGATTAATAAGGCCCCTATATTAGGGGGCTCAGGGTTCAGGCTTTGTTTAGACCTTGAGTCTGGTCCTTGCGTCGGCTCAGGGAGCTACGCTGACGTTGAGCTGTTTGAACCAACTAGCTAGGGTTTCGGGTTTAGTGTACTAACTGGCTAGGGTTTAGGGCTTAGTGTACTAACTCGCTAGGGTTTAGGGTTCAGGGTTTAGTGTACGAACATATTATGATGAATCGACCTCATGGGTGACCCTGATATGCCAACTGGCCTGCGATCAAAATCAGTCGAACAACAACCTCTCACGCACACTCACGCCGGCACACACACACACAACATCATACAATGCATAAGTAAGCAAGCAACAGCATGCAAGTAAAGCAGATATGCGATCACGTGCAGGCAAACAACAACTATCTTCATCAAATCAGGTCGAATCCACGACGGTGACGGCGCTTTTATCGGGAATCTCGTATTTTTTCGGGATGAAGCTCGCTGTCGAAATACCTACATCATGTGTTTATGGTTTAGGGTATAGGTTCATGTTTGCTGGCCATTGCTGCTGCACTCTCAGCAAGGGCTGTGAACTTACGATTGTTGCCATCCCTGTGCGAAGACTGCACAGATTTACTGATATACTGGGCCGTTGGCATATGCCGTGATGATGTCGGACCAGGATGCATCTCGTCTTGTCCGTGGAGCAAGCTGCTCGAACGATTCTGACTAGAGTGTGGTGATGCGGAAGCCATCGGCAACATAAATTACAGGAGGCTAGCAGTGTGGCTGTCAGCTCTCGCCGGTTTTCTCCGGGTGCACCACCTTGATATGCAGGTTCACGAAAGTCTTTCGTTCTCGTGTCCAGATCGTTCCACACGCATGTGTACTTTATCACATACGGCGGCTTTGCATACAGGGCGCAACAAACAAATACGCTTGCTCTAAACCTGTCTTGGTCCACGTCTTTAAGCTCGAAGTGTGACGCAAAACCAGTACCCCTTACCCAGATTTCGAAAGAGCTCTTGGCCCCCTGCAGCTCGTGGGCGCTGGCGGTTGAGGGAGCCCTTCCGCGGGTTTGGGGTTTAAGGTGAGGCAGAACAGCTTCACAGACACGCCAAAATGTTTATGCGTGCAGGTTTGGAGCTGCCCTACGCATCCTTCAGGTGCTCAGCCATGCAGGCTCAGACTAGGGGCACTAAAGGCACATGTCTCTCTCCCAGTACGTCCCGTAGGACACTTCAGACTGATAGTCGAAGAGCA